AAAGGAAGACCTCCTATTCAAACTAACCCCATGCCAAGTCCCTGCCCCAAAGTCCTTGAGGCGGTTTGTTTCTTACCTAGTGGATCTTCCTCAACTGATGAGTGTTACACATAGGCTAGAGGCTGCTCAATTAGCTATCCCAACTCTAGGACTTCAAGTCCCTTCATTTAGCTAGAGTTATTCTCAAAGACAAGTCTTGTCATGCAGGAATCTTCTCATGCAGAATTCCCTGTAAGAATCCAAAATTTCCCACCATTTATTTCATTCTTATTTTAATAAAAATTCTCAAAACAGACCAATAGATAACATGTGCACTTCTTTGAGATGTTACATTGTCAACCAAGAAATGTGATTGTGCCTGTAACTGGACCTTTGCTTTGGTCTGAATAGAACATCATTGTGTTTAATGCCTGTCATTGGCCAAGGGCTTAAGACTCATAAGCCCTAATATATCTTTCAGACTACAAAAATGTCTCTGATGTTAGTTGCCACCAATTCATGGTAACCTTGGGTATAACAGAATACAATGTTTTCTGATCCTGCACCACCTTCGTGATTGTCTGTATGCCTGAGTTATTGTATCTTGTAGTTATCATATCTTTTTGAGGGTTTCTTTCATTTTTGCTGACCCTCTACCAATCATGATGTACTTTTTCTTCTGTTTAGCCTTTCCTGATGACATGTCCAAAGTTAAGTAAGAGATCTAGCTATCCTCACTTCTAAGGAACATTCTGGCTGTACCTCTTCCCAAACAGATCTGCTCTTTCTACTGGCACTCTATGACATATCCAATATTCTTTGTCAGAACTATAATTCAGAGAAATCAATTCTTCCGGGGTCATCCTTATTCATTCTATAGCTCTTGCATGCATATGATACAATGGGAAAGACAATGGCTTGGGTCAGGTGCCTTAGTCATCAAAGTGGCATCTTTGTATTTAAAACTTTTTTTTAATTTTATTTTTTATATTTGTATTGACATATCTTACTCATTCCAATCTATCCATCAGATACAGTTCTGTTGTTCAATCCTATTGGGTGGGGTTATACAATCATCAATAGGATCAACTCCCTTCTTTCTCCCTTCCCCGTTCCCATCCCCTCACTTCCCCTACCCTCAGGGAACCATTACTCCTGTCTCTGAGGGGTCATCTATCTTGACTACCATGTACTGAGTGATCTTAAATATATTAATGAACAAATGCAAATCTAACATGATTTATGAGGTATAAGGCATAGGAACCTTAATAGTAAGGGGAAGAAATCTTTAAGGACTAGAATATAGTTATGTGGTTCATCAGTGTTGTACTGCACCCTGGATTTATTTTCCATTCTATGTGGCCCTTCTTAGAGGAACTGTCCAATTGTCTTGCTGGTGGACTTTGGATCTCCACTACATCCACTCCCCTTCATATCAATTTTGTTGCATTATTTTTAACTTCTGACACCTCTTCCATCGACATCTCAAGATCACACAGGGTAGTGTGCTTCTTTTATGTGGGCTTTGTTGTTTCCCTGCTAGATAGCTGCCTGTTTAACTACAAGCCTTTAAGACACCAGATGCTATATCTTTTGATAACCAGGCACCATCAGCTTTCTTCACCACATTTGCTTATACTCTCAATTTGTCTCCAGTGATCGCATCAGGAAGGTGAGTATCATATAGTGCCGGATTATTAGAACAAATCATTCTTGTACTGAGGTAAGATTTAAATTGAGGCTCAAAGTCCATCTGCTTCCTTGTTTCATTTGTATGTAAGCATATATAAACAAACACACTCACATTTATATATATATATGTACATATTTTGTCTTTCCTCTTTTTCCCCTCCTTCCCCACTATTATGTTTACCCATGGTACACCTCTCAGTAATTCCTCTCAGATGCAATTTGATTTCTTCTATTGGTTGCTGATGTGAGTTGTAGTCTTATGTGGCATTTTGGTGGTACCGGAGCTGGTACATTCTGTGTGGTATACGGCACTGTGGATAGGGCTGGCTGGGTCTGTGTGTGGCAAGAACGGCTCTGCATTTGGGGTTGGCATGGCCAGGGCCATGTGCTGTGGGTGGTGCAGGTGCCCCAACAGGTGGGGTGGAGTGTGTCACAAGCTTTGCCAGCTCCATGGTTGCCTCAGGCTGCATTGACCGGGGGGCACTAGCCATGGACTTCTCAGGCTGGAAAGGCAGTGCAAGTATAGGGGCAGGGCCCATCTCAGATGTTAGTGCGAGGTGGCACCAGAGCCTCAAACCAAGTATACCAGGTCATCTGGATCCATGGGCCTCCCTCTCAGACTCTGTAAGTGGTGTGGGCAGTGGTTAGAACTCTCCATGGCCTCAGTTCTCAGATGACAAAAGTGGCATGGTGGCACCTATTGAGCCTATTGGATGCATGGGCCTCTCAGGCTCTCAGCATCTATCCAGCCACATGGTTGGGGGGCAGTGTGCTCCCCAGTCATAGGTTGTGGGCTCTGTAAGCACCGTGGGCTGTATGGACCAAGCCAGCTGGATTCCCAAGACCACTCAAACTCCACTGGTGACTTGGGCAGTACTGCAGTTCATGCTGCAGCTGCAAATTGCAGGTGGCACAAGCTGCATGTGTGATACTGGTTAGTGTGACTGAGGTATCCAGCTACAATTCACAGTGCCTTGGCGACACAGATTGGAGGGCAGGGCAGATCAGAACCACATGGAAGGTCAGCCTAGGTTTCAGGCAGAGTTCGTGGCTGCTGTGAAGCCCGAATTTGGGTCCCTGACCCCCATTTAGCCTCCCAATCACCCAACCCAGCAATCACGCTCAGAGCTCCCAACGTGGTCATCCTACCTTGACACCATCTTCCTGGAAGTTCTCATATATAAAGCTTTAAAAATGTTTTTACAACAGGTTTGCCCGATGCAATATGTTTTTCAGTTTATTGGTTTCATGGACATTGATTATTTATTCAAGTAAAATAAAAACATTGACCACTTTCTTTTATTTCCTCTTAGATCAAGTCCAGATTTATGGATTTTATTTTAAATGTCCATAGATCAAAATATTGAAAATAAATACAGTACCATAGCTTCATTTATTTATGTATTCTGCAGAAACTTACTGAGGACTCAGAATGTGCCAGGCTTTTGGCAAGAAACAAGAATTGATTTGCTTTTGGCAAAGTAAAAACAATGAGGAAAATACTTTAAGATTTATGAACTGATAAAGTGTTGATACCAAGAGATAGATAAATTATAAGTACTATCAATATCAAGGAATGATGACGGCACATTGCATTAGGAATTTGGCTGCTAAGGCCAGTGGTTCAAACCAACCAGCTGCTCTGTAGAAAGATGAAGCTATCTGCTCCTGTAAAGATTTGTTATATCAGAAACCCTGTAAAGGGTCCCTGGGGTCAGTATGGAATAAGGTGTAGTCATGAGACCAATGGAATAGAAAGTATAAAGTACAGTATAGGAATAGCATGCGCAAAGCTCAGAAATGTGTATGTACAAAAGATGTTATGAGGAGTATAAGCAACACAAACTTGGAAGACCAAAATATAAAATAAAAGCTGGAAAGCAAGGATAAATCATTCTGAATAGCTACACGGGAGTTTAACGGTATCAGGCATCCACTTTCTCAATTTTAAAATGTAGGTATAAGATCTCTTCCACCAACACTGAACATATAATGAGAGTTCCCTTTATAATCACAACCAAGCCTGGGAACTCCTTACAGCTCTACTTAGAGTAAAGCACTTTCAGACCAATAATTTAAAAGAATAGAATCATCAAATTTTTGAACTTTAAAAAAATATTTCCCTTGCAAATAGACATTTCTTCCCAATAAGGCATATAAATTCATCTCATGGGTCTGTTTGTAAAGGAGAAAAATTCCTTCCCTGAAAAAATACCAGAAACAGCTAAAGGAAGCGATTATCTCACCCTCAACCTGTGAATCGCCTGTGATCTGTGAGCAGCATGGGGAGAGAGCAAAGAAGCAGACATGCGTTTGGTAGGATTTCAGATCAGGGGCATGTAATCAGTGCTGTCTGCTGGGCTGGTGATCTCTAAATACGGAGCTAGAAAGAAGAGAGTCTGTACTAGACTTCGGCATTAACTCACTGAACTGCTTTCAAGGCGTTCAGGGACTTAACATTTAATTCTTCAGTTATTATATTAGTCTTCTCTTCTCACTGAACTCAGGTCATTCTGACTCCTGGTGACCCTAAAGGGCAGGATAGAAACACCCCACCCCACCCCACCCCACCCCCGGCCCCGTGGGTTTCTGAGACGGTAACTCTTTACAGGAATAGAAAGCGCCATCTCTTTCTATATTATAATAGTGTATTAATTATTTCTCAGAATTTTCTCCACCCTTTTAGGCATTTTGTGTACTGTATTAAGAAGTAGTTCCTATGCAGTATTCCATTCAATTCTCATGAAAAAGTGTGAACTAAGAATTCTTACCTTTTTTTTTTACTATGGGGAAACATTGCCATCTGAGGAGCCTTATGGGTTCCTAGTTGGTCAATTATCCATTTAGAACCCAGGAGTCTGTGGATCTGTCCCATTGCCAAACAAATCTATAAAGACTGCCTGGTGTGGTTTTTAAAAAAAAAAAGGGGGGGGGGAACTAATGTAAAAATTGTATTTGAACAATTCTGAGTGTTCTTTTCTATCTGTCTCTCATATGTTACTTAACCAATGATCCCAACTGCCTAACAAAGCAGAAATGTAACCTTTGATTTAATATCTTATGACTGTAGACATACCACCATAGGACATTTTCACAAATTATTTCATCTACTAAGTCCCCATTTTCTCTTCCATATGATGCAAATTAAAATATTTATCATAGGATTTATTGAATTACTTGTTGACAAAGTTCTATGCTCTAAAATGCAAAGAAAGAAAACATCAAAATGGATCTCAGAAGAGATTTTGAAACTTGCTCTTAATCAGAGTGTAGCTAAGGCAAATGGAAGAAAAGATGACATCAAAGAGCTGAATAGAGCATTTGAAAGTGTGTTTATGAAAAGAGAGGTTAGTACTCTCCTTGCCAAGGATGGAGGGGTCTTTGGTCCTTACAATACACATATGTTTAAGGTATCGCTACCTTCTTTGTGGCATCTAATTCTAGTTTTTATACAGAAACCCAGAAAAGAGCTCACACAGAAAAGAAAACTCAGAAAATGAGAGAAGAATGTATTCTAAAAGTGGCGGCCGTAATAGTTCAACTAAGAAAGGAAGAAAGGCTGATAGAGATCAGAGGCCATTGTTAAAAATAAAAAAACATTGAAAAGCAAGGAGGATGAGAAGACCAGATCCTTAGTAGAAAAAGACACCAACCAAAAATCAGAGGGTCAAGTAAATGACCACATACATTACAAAAATATAAAATTTGATCATGAATCAAGCCCTGGAATAGATGAAGACAAAAGCGGAGGAGTCGTATAAAGTATTTTCATTCTATCTCAAAATTCTAAGTTTTAGAGACTTGAATATCCCTTATGTTGTTTTCCTTTTTAAAAATTTCTAATGTTTGTCCTTTTTTAAAAAATGTGGACTTCAGTTAGGTGATCTTTTGATAATCTTCATTCTGGATAATTGCACTACTAACATTTTAATAAATTTGACATGAGAAAATTTATGTGTGTGTGGTGATGATTTTTTTTCCTTTTTATTTTTATTTATTTTTTTAATCATTTTTTTGTGGTGATGTGTTTTTTTAATTCATTTTTTAAAAATAATTTCATCATTGCTACACTGCACCCTGACTGGCCTGTCTTCTTCCCCTGACCCTTCTGTAAGAAGATGTCCAGTTGCTTACAGATAAGCTTTGGTTTCCCACTCCATACTCCACCTCATTCACAATGATATGATGTTTTTGTTCTTTGATGTCTGACACCTGGTCCATTCAACACCTCGTGGTCACACAGGCTGGTGTGCTTCTTCCATGTGGACTTTGTTGTGTCTGAGCTAGATGGCTGCTTATTTACATTCAAGCCTTTAAGACACCAGACTCTATATCTTTGGATAGCAGGGCACCATCAGCTTTCTCCACCACATTTGCTGATGCACCCGCTTTGTCTTTAGCGATCGTGTAGGGACAGGCTGGTGTGCTTCTTCCATGTGGGCTTTGTTGTTTCTCAGCTAGGCCATGGCATTTTTAATAGCCCCACATACATGTAACAGCTAGATGCTGAATAAGGACGACCCAAGAAGAACTGAGGCATTTCAATCATGGTGCTGGAAAAGAATATTGAAAGTACCATAGTCTGCCGAAACAACCAACAAATCTGTCTTGTGAGAAAGTACAGCCAGAATGGTGAGACTTGTCTCATGTACTTTGGGTGTATTGTCAGGAGAGATTAGTCCATGGAAAATGATTTCATGCTTGATGAAGTGGAGGGACAGCCAAAGTAGAGGAAGGCCCTTGACAAGATGGATTCACACAGTGGCTTCACATTGGGTTCACACATAAGAATTATTCTGAGGATGCCACAGGACTGGGCAGTATTGCACTCTGTTACACAGAGTGACTCATATACTATGAGTCAGAACCAACCTACTTGATGGCACCTAACAGCTACGTGCTGGGTGTTTTTATGTAGATTATTTTCTTTGTTCCGTAAAATAGCCTTAAGAGTCAAATACTGGCTTTCTGTTTGTTTGCTTGTTTCATAATAATTCTGAAATTGAATTAATATATAAGATTTCACCTTTTTAAAAAAATTAAAAAGCTTAACATCGAAATCATTGACCAGATAAAACAGTTGTTATGACCAGGAATCCAATTTACTTGTTAGTTTCATGGAAGACAAAACAAAGAGCAAATATACCATTTGTCTTCTCTGGTAAATAAGAAACCTACTGTGTTAGACGGGGTTCTCTAGAAAAACAAAACCAGAACACTAATGATTTTATAGATAGATAGATAGAACATAAGAAATAAACCGCTAATCAGTTCACAGAGCAGTACAAATGGCTCAGTTCAACTCAAAGAGAATGT